CCTTCCTTGTGCTGTAATACTACTAGTAATTAGTACTTTCTACCAGTAATACTTTCTACTGTAATACTACTAGTAATTAGTACTTTCTACCAGTAATACTTTCTACTGTAATATGAGTGATGGCCAACACTTCCCAGTGCTTACTAAGCACCAAGCGGTGTTGTAAGTGCTCACGGTACTTTTCACCTCTTAATTCTGGAGGCAACCCTCCCCTGTTCCCCCCTTCTACCTGGTGAGAAAGCTGAGCTTAAGTAACCTCAGTCACTCGGCCCACAGACGACAGCTGAGCTTTGAACCCTGTCAGGCTGACTCTAAAGTTCATAGTTGTAACCACTCACCATAAGACCTCCTTTTTAACAACATCCTCTTAAAGCAACATTTCCTTTCCTTAAGAATGTCACCCCTCATCTTTTTCTCAAGCAAAATCCCAATTCCTTTAGCTTCTTAAGAGGGTGTCTGGCTTATGAGAGGCCAGAGCAAGGTTAGCAGGATGTGGAAAGGAGGTTTGCAAGGGAAGTATGGACAAAGGGCCCGGGCCCAGGGTGAACCGATTATCTGACCCAAGCCTCTGCATCTCACTGATCCCAAAAAGCCCAGCCCGGGAGTTGGAGGAGGCAGGGGCAGGATCTGGGCTCAGAGAAGCCTCTTGCAGAGTTCACTTCTCCCAAGGAAACTGAGACAACTTTGAAACACTGCCTTTCTTGGCTTCCCCTGCCCTAACCCTCACTTGAAACAGGGAGCAGGGCATCACTTTAGGAGACAGGATGTCCCAGAGAGGGAGGTTGTGGGGAAGGGGCCAAGAAGCCTCCGTCAGCTGCTTGTAGCCCTGCCCCCCACCTCTTGCCTCGGGTTGGAGAAGTCTGAGGAAGCATGAAACTCGTCCCCAGAGCCCAGTGACCATCTGCAGCGATTCTCCACTGACCCCGTAACGACTCACCTGCCTTCACTGTTCGGCGGCTTCAAGGTGAGACCCCACACTCCAGCACGTGGAGAGGAGGCCAATCTCGGGGCGCCGCATGCCCACTTTGTCGTGTGTGATTTTGACTTGCACTGCCCTCCTCAGCTAGGTCAGTCACCTCCAGCCAGGACCAGGCCTGAGCTCCACCCTAAATCCTAAACTTCAACAATCTCTTTCAGGCCCCTCAACCTTTGGTGCCGTACCCCAATCCAGTGACAAGTCTTTCTTTTGAATTACAGCACTCACTGTAAATCATTTGAGGGCTGATCCTAAATGGGGTGATTCTTTAAGAGGACACTAAGCCCCGAATAGAGTGGGTGAGTCAATATCAGGAAGAGGCCACTCTGAAAGTGGAGCTAATAAATTCAACAACAGATCAATTCTGTCATTTGCAGAGTAGTCCACACTGAGAGATGGTGTGTGTGACTGATAGAGACGAGGCTCTATCCAGGTGGCCAGTGCTTCTGAAGCTGAGACGATTCCCGGAGAGTGTCCAGGGAAGCTGTCACCTGAGCTAGGGTGCTGTGACCTGGGGTGAAACGGGAGACCTGGGAAAGCCTCCCAGAGCAGAGCAGAGGAGTGGCTCCAGGTGTTCTAAAACCGTGCTTTTATATATTTTGAATTGGCATTTAAAAAATTGGGAGGGCTAACATAAACATTGGGATTTCCAGCTTCTCATGAAAAATCACCAGATCTAGCAACACTGGGCCCACATTCCTACAGGGTGCCAGTCCAGGAAAGCTGGGCAGCAGCTCCGCCCTCCAAGCAGGGCACGCGGACCCCCAGGCTACAGGCCTCACTACGCCCAGCATCTCCCAGACATGAGGCTGAGGCTCAGTTGCACTTACGACAACTTTGCCCTGGGTTCTTACACAAGGCCTGCTTCGCCTGTGTTACCTGAAGTCCCTGGTGGACACAAGAACAGGCACCAGGCACCTCCAGGGAGAGGAGGCCCGATGCAATGTCAGTCCCTCTGCTTGCATCTTTCACTCACGCTTTTCTGCTCAAGAACTATCTCATCTGTTTGACTGTCACCTCCTCTGTGAAGTCTTCCCTGATGGCGCCAGGCACAGTCACTCCCTCCTCTGTGCTCCCTTCACTTTGCATTTTGGCTGTCTCTCACTAGCCTTCAAGGCCAAGTCTACAGCCTCCTACCTCTTCCCCAGTGCCCAGGGCCATAGTGCTCCTTGGCCTGGAGAGGTAACTCTGCGGAGAAGTTTGAACATCAGCCTACACGACAGCTGGGTCTAGACTGGGGTGGATATCAAAATAGGAAACCACTGAGGTCGAAGCACTTTGATTGGAGAATGAGTAAGATTTGGTAACAGCACTTTAAACAAGCAGTTCCAGGTGAATCTGATGCCAGTGGTTCACAGACACTTTTTTAAAGCATTCTTTCAAGATTTTGAGTTTATGTATATAAGGTAACCATTGGCAGAGATAGACACATCTAGAAGCGGGTACTGGGTTTTGGAATAAACTAAAGAATTTGGTTTTAGACATTTGAGCTTGAGAAGACAGTAAAACAGCCAAATGGAGCGTATCCATCATCAGCTGGAGAGAAGACGCTGAGGCCTCAGAGGATGACGTCGACCTGGGTAGCACTTGAGAGTTCTCTCAGGTGAAACTATGAGAGTGATTGAAAAGTCGAAGAAAGCAGATATAGATGAATAAGAAATAAGATGAACAAGAAAAGACCTTGGAATATTCCTAACTTTAGGGATGGGTGGAGGAAATGGTGTCAGTGAAGAGACAATAACTAGTTAGAGAGGTCTGTGGAAATACAGATTAGTGTACCATTTAGGGAAGGGAAAGGAAAGTGGGAAGGGAAGGAAGGAGAAAGAAAAGGGAAGTGGGAAATATCACTCAGTGGGCGTCTGCTATGTGCCAGGCACCAAGACAGACACCATGTGGGGCCGGCCCCATGGCTGAGTGGTTAAGTTTGTGCCCTCCACTTTGGCAGCCCAGGGTTTCACCGGTTCGGATCCTGGGCACGGATCTAGCACCATTCATCAAGCCATGCTGAGGCGACATCCCACAGAGCAGAACCAGAAGGACCTACAACTAAAACATACAACTATGTACTGGGGGGCTTTGGGGAGAAGAAGAAAAATAAATAAAAGATAAAAGAAGATTGGCAACAGATGTTAGCTCAGGTGCCAATCTCAAAAAGAAAAAAAAATATCACAAGACAGACACCACGTACATTATCATCTTGTTTAGTTCTAACTTGGTTTCCCCATCTTGACCCCACAGTCTAGTCTGCAGTGGTACCTAGAGCATCTTTCCAAAGCACAGCAAGGCCATTTCACTCTCCTGCTCAAACTGTTCCATGATTCCCTATTGCCATCAGCATAGTCTAAACCCTTTAATTTGCTTCTATAGCTTTTTTTTAATAACTGCTTTATTGAGATAAAATTCACTCTTTTTAAAGTATACTATCCAATAGTTTTTATATTCACAGAGTTGTGCAACCATTACTACAATCAATTTTAGGACATTTTTATCACCCCCAAAAGAAACCCCAAACCCATTAGTAGCCATTCTCCATTCTTTTTTACCCCAGCCCCTGGATACTAATCTACTTCTGTTTCTATGAATTTGCTAATTCTGGACATTTCATATAAATGGAATCATAATATGTGGCCTTTTGTGTCTGATTTCTTTCATGTAGCATAATGTTTTCAAGTTTTTTGCATATTGTAGCGTGTATCAGTACTCCATTTCTTTTTATGGCCAAATAATATTTCTCTGTATGGACACACCACATTTTGCTTATCCATTCATCAGTTTATGGGCATGTGGATTGTTTCCACTTTTTTTTTTTTTTCAAAGATTTTATTTTTTCCTTTTTCTCCCCAAAGCCCCCCAGTACATAGTTGTATATTTCTCGCTGTGGGTTCTTCTAGTTGTGTTATGTGGGACGCTGCCTCAGCATGGTCTGACGAGCAGTGCCATGTCCGCGCCCAGGATTCGAACCAACGAAACACTGGGCCGCCTGCAGCGGAGCGCGCGAACTTAACCACTCGGCCACGGGGCCAGCCCCATGATTGTTTCCACTTTTTGATTATCATAACACTGCTGTGAACAAGTGTGTGTAGATGTATGATTTCATTTTCTTTTTTTTTTTTTAAGATTTTATTTTTCCTTTTTCTCCCCAAAGCCCCCCAGTACATAGCTGTGTATTTTCAGTTGTGGGTCCTTCTAGTTGTGGCATGTGGGATGCCGCCTCAGCATGGCTTGATGAGCGGTGCCATGTCCGTGCCCAAGATCCGAACTGGTGAAACTCTGGGCCGCCACAGTGGAGCGTGCGAACTTAACCACTTGGCCACCACGCTGACCCCTATGGTCCTTCTTCAGCTTGTCCTTTCTTAGTCCTGTGGCTTCAGCTTCTGTCCCACTCTACTCCAGCTTGCCCTCTCTCTCCAGTCTCACTAAATGATTTGTGTTTTCCCACATGAGCCGTGTTCTTTCTCACCTCTGGCTCACTTCTCTGCAGGCTGTTTCTTTTTCTGGAAAGTCTCCCTGCCCTTCTTCCCACGACAGCTGGCTATCTTCTCCAACTATCTGGCAGGTCAGGGCTTAGAGGTCACATCTTCCAAAAGCCTTTCCTGAGCCCACAAGAATGTTTTAGGAACAGCAGCTTTTTGTTCCCAAAAGAACCTATACTTAACCCCAACAGGGGCTTTTTTTGTGCCTGGCACATAGTAGGTATCACTAAATATCCGATGAATGGAGGAATCCCGAGTCAAGGAAGAAGTCTGTTCCAAGAAGGAAGACTAATTAGTATTGTGTACTGCTGCAGAGAGTTAAGAATGAGATCTGAGAAAAATGCCACTGGGGGCCGGCCCCGTGGCCGAGTGGTTAAGTTCTCATGTTTGGCTTCAGTGGCCCAAGGTTTCACTCGTTCCGATCCTGGGTGTGGACATGGCACAGCTCATCAGGCCACGCTGAGGCTGTGTCCCACATAGCAGAGCCAGAAAGACCTACAGCTAGAATATACAACTATGTACTGGGGGGCTTTGGAGAGAAGAAGGAAAAAAAAAAAAAAAAGATTGGCAACAGATGTTAGCTCAGGTGCCAATCTAAAAAAAAAGAAAAAGAAAACCACTGGGTTTTGACTGTTTTTGTCATTACCAGTAGGGAGGAGTTTCAGTAGCATTGTAGATGCAGAAGCCAGGGAGGGAGTTAAGGAGTGAATTGCTGACGAGAAAATGAAGCTTTAGTTTCCAACTGTTTGTGCCCAAGCCTGTCTGTGAGGTGGAGGGAACTGGACTGGCACCACGAGACAGCTTGAAAGGGTGGAGTGATGGGGTTAATTTTAGGGCTATCAGTCCCTCTGCTACCTTCCTGAACTTCAGAGTTCAACTTCTAATGAGAGTCCCTTTCTTGGATTCTTATGATGTCAATTCTAGGGACTCCCCATGATTTCCCCATTCACCCTCCCGTTACGACATTATACCTCTGACTATGTGTGAACATGTAAGTGTACGTATGCACACACACACCCTATATTTGTGCTGATCTCGGTGCCCCAGGAACTTAAAGATTCTGAGACTGAACAAGGCCTTTCCCCAAATTGGCTAAGCAATATCTGCCCCAGAAAAGGATATAAGAGTCACTCGTTTGGCTAGAAAAAGGAAGGAATAGGTCTGCTAACATCAGGTGGCACCAAAAGAACCATAGTCTTCTCTCTCTCCCCCTTGTTTCCTTGTGTCTCCACCATGTCATATGGGATAGAATGAAATGGCTTCAAGATTTTAATTTTTCAGACCCTTACTGATTTACCTCCAACTTTCAGTTGCTTCTGCCTCTTTGGCATTTTCCTCCCAGAGGTGAATGTGCCTGATAATGAGACCACCAAGCTGATTAGCTTTCACCACCACCCTTACACAGCTCACGTTGTACCTCAGACTTCTCAGAAATACCTCCTGATCCATCTGCCCTTCCAAGAGATGGCCCAGCACAGCAAAGCTGGTACAGTACTGAGGCATCCCCTCGGGGTCGTAGCCCAGTTCCACTTGCCCCTTCTCCAGGGCATACTTTCCATCCACAATGGTCCCTGTCAGGACTTGCACTCTGTTCAGGTTCACTGGATGGTTCAAAATGACGGTGAGGTGGTTCCCTGCACTGACATTGTGGGTCCAGAAGAAGGACTCGTCCAGAGTGTAGGCCTCCCAGGGGAAATGAACATCAAACACCTTCATGTCAGTGAAAATGGCTCCAGGTGGGTTGTCAGGACCATACGGGTTCTTCTTCCGAACTGGGGTGGCTTTCTGGCTGTCATTATAGGTGAAGTAGGAGATCCTGTGGTAGAAGAGGAAAGGTCTGCAGAGGATGGGGTTCTTCTGGGCCAGGAGGGTACGAAAATGAGGGATAAGCCTGTTGAGGGGCTTTTCCTTGTAGAAGAGGAGAAGGAAATGGGACAGGACAGGGAGGTCCCTGCTGTGGAAGAGTTTGCCAAGGAAGCCCATATTGGAGAACTCCAGCATCACCCACGGGTCAGACCTCATGGCGTTCACCTTCCAATGAATGTGGGTGACAAAGTTGGGGGCACAAAAGGCATTGTCCTCCAGTAACAGGAAGTAATCAGAGAGCTTTGTGGCAAAGCTCATGAGGAAGGCGTGATCTATATTCTGCTTGGAGTAGAATTCCGCTTGAGTGGCCTTGTCCCTGACATCATCCACAGTGGGGTAGATGTCAGATGGAGCGTGGATCAGCAACAACTGTCCTGCCAAGATCTGTGGGCTGAAGAGGCTTGAAATATGGACAGTGGTTTCTCTGAGCCAGGTGAGGTCAGAATCTGCCAGGTGGACCAGCACTGTGAGACGCTTCTGCTCAATCTTAGAGGTAGCACGGAACAGGGAGAGCAGTGTGTACGAGAGGCTGTTTTGGTCCGGTCGTGGCACTGAGGAGATGCCCACCATCAGCCATGCTGAGGAGAGGGAAGAGAGGGACACTGGTCAGCGTGCGCCGGTGGTGAGGGCCATCACAGGGTTAGGGGTTGGGATGCTCTTTGGGACGTTCTCTCTTCCTGTTTCCCGTCTGTCCCCTCTTTCGGCAGAGGGGATGCTTAGATCCTTGCTACTCAAAGTAAGGTCCTTGGTCCAGCAACATCAGCTTCATATTAGAAACGCAGAATCTGGGCCCCTACCTCAAATGTAGTTAAAGAGAATCTGCATTTTAACAACATCACCAGGTGCCTTGAGTGCACATTAAAGTTTGAGAAGTACTAAGCTAGGTGATGCTGAGTCCCTTGGGTCCCTCTGAGTCTTCAAGCCAGAATTTTGTGGCACGTGGTTTAAGTGCTCAGTAAGTGCTAGCTATTATTATAGTTATTATAATTCTTCTTGTTTTTATGCAGTTCCTCTTCTCAAAGCTCTCCTTTGAAGAAGATATATTAGCAAAAGCATTTCTCTTAGAAGTCAGGAGCCCAAGGTTCTTGTCCCAGTTCTGACACTGACTGTGTGACCTTGAGCAAGTCCCTTTACCCCTGCGCTTAGTTCCTGATCCATAAAACCGAGGAATTTGGACCACACGACTCTAAGTCTCCTTCTAATCCAAATGCTCTCTAATCCCATGATTCCACTCTCCTACAACAGCTCACTCTATCTTTTCCTCCTCTTCGTCATTCCTGATATATAGACGTCTTGGAGGGGAAAGAATTGTCTGCCGGATTCCAGTTCTCTGGGCAGGGTCCTGCCTCTCCTCCCCGTCTTCTTCCCTTCCTAGCTACACTTCTCTTGATGGCCCTGCTTCCCCTGGGGTGCCCCATTCCCCTCACTGGAACTCACTCTTTCGTCTCTGCTGGATTTTTTTCATGTATTTGGAGGTGAGATTCTGCCACTCTTCTAGTGGTCTCAGGTCCTCCCTTCTGCTATAACTGTCCTCCTGGGACACTGACAAAGGCACATCATATACCTGCTTTCACAAAAAGAACAGAGTTTAGCCCCTAGTGGCATCCCATAAGCTTTTCCAGGAAAAGAGGTGGAGTGGATCATTCTCCCTAGAGGAAGCCTGGCATGTCCTCAGGATGTCTGACCACTGGCCAGAGTACCCAGAGCTCAAGCAGTATTCGCTCTCTTCCTTACCTTAACAAACATGGTGGCGGGGGGTGGGAGAATGCTGCTTCTCTATGGACCAGTGGGTCCAGGTCCATACCACAACTCCCTTTGGAGCTTCGTGCTTTCATGTGAAAAGGTACAGGCCCTTTTGAGAATCTGCCTGTCCACCCATCCCTACCCTGCATCCTCAGTCCCAGGCCGAGAACAAAGGTGGCTACCTGGCCTTGGATTGTCATCACATTTTGGTCATCTTCAATTTCCGTGGGGACTTTCAAAGTGATGAAGAGCCACAGGAATCCGATGCCCACTGAGGTCAGGAAGCAGCGCCTGATGGAACACCGCATGCTGTCTGCGACGGGGTAGGGTTCCTACAGCAACAGGTCCACAGGTGCGGCTGGGGACTCTCCAGCTCGTCCATGCCTGGAACTTCCCCTTTGTCCCTGGAAGTCTTCCCCTCACAACCCCCATATTCTGTCCTTGCTCATCATCACTAACTTATTTCCCAAGGCTGCCTTTTTATCTGGGCTGGGAACCTGGCGGAATATAGCCTCACCCGTGCTGAGGAAGGCAGGTCACCTGGCCTGTGACCTTTGCTGCCTTCCCTTTATCGCTTTGTCTGGAGATTCAACTTTCCCCAAGTTTTCCCTTCTCAAAATGACAAGGGTCAGCTGAGGCTCCCATGACACGGCCCGTTTATCTCAGAAAACACATGGTCCCCATTCACCCCTGCTTTTTAAACAAAAGCCAAACTATTAAAATAGTTGAAGTGTGGCTAAGTGCTAAGCAATTTGGTGCCTTTCTTACTTTTTTATAAAGGATATCCTTCATTTATTCCAATCTTTAATCTTATTCACAGACCCTGACTAGAACATCATTCTGTTAACTTAGTGCAAAAAACATCCTTTCGTGAGTACTGGGCTATTGGAATTCCGGCTGGCTCAGCCTCAAACGCCCTCGTGTGCCGCTTTCTTCCTGTGTCTTTTCTCCAGTGAGGGTGTGTTTCTCTGATTGTTTCTAAATGATCAGAGGAAAGGCATCAATATGTCTGGTCACCCACTCCTGCTTCTCTCCCTGCGTGTTCAGTACACAAAGGAAAGTGTCGTCAGTCATTTCTGTGCTCCTGAGACTACGGTACTCTCTAATCTCCCCATTTTCATGGGTCCCTGTCGGTTTAGTATTTTGGCGGAGGTCAACATGCTTCTCTCCCTTCACCATTTAGCATTTTGATGGGAGTTATAAAAATAATGCTTGTATACGGTAGTAAAGCTTCACAGATGGATGGAACTTTCCTTACCTGGTTTCCTTAAGCCAGGACTCTTAGTCAGATAGGTGATCCAGTTACAAACCACTTTATATAAAAGAAATAGGCTTCTTTTCTTTAGAACAGAAACACATGGATACACATACTGAATAAAAAGTCTTTACGATTACTCCACAGGCACAGCTCTGTCCCCTCTGCACCTCCAGTGGGTGTCATCTACCAGTCACGTTGGGAGCACTTCCCTCGTTCAGCCCTCTGAGATCCACAGGCTTCCGGAAGAGGCAGAAGAGAGAGAAGGAATGAGAGGAGCTGGGGTGCCAGGGACCAGTGGCTCCAGGCACCATGAACAGAGAGAGTGAGGCCCAGCAGAGCAGTTCTCCTCCCTTGAGCTAAGCTCCCTCTGTGATGTTACTCTTGTGTCCTCCCACCTCCTCCGCATCATCAGAGGTACGCGTGGACAGGACTCACAGGTGGGCGATGCATGCTTAGTAATTGGTAGCCATTAATTATTATGCATCCTGAAGACCAGCATTGGTATCTTTAACAGAGAAAAGAGAACATCCCCTCCTCCACTTCTTTGCATCTCACCACCATCCTCCTGCCCCCGGGGGGGGGGGGGGGTGTGGGGTGTGGGGGAGGATTGTGCACTGGCTCCCACTCCCCCTCATCCTCTTCCTCCCTGCAATTGCCCTCTCTCCTCTGCACCATCCGCTTCTCCCCCTTTACTGGACCCTTCCTGGCACTATGAGAAGGAGCTCTGCTATCTTCCCGTGATGGGTAGAAGCGAAATCTTTCCCAGAATTCATGTTCTCTCCAAATTTTTCCCATTCCTCTGCAGCCCTACACAGAAAAACTCCTTGAAAGAGTTGTCTTTATGAATTAGCGCCAACTCATTTCTCATTACTCTAGCGTGTATTGTATTTTCTTCAGCATTTATTTCTACCGGAAACCATCTTACTTGTCTGTGTTTCTCATCTCTGTCCACTAGACTAGAATATAAGTCCCTGAAGGACAGGGACTTTGTTTTACTCAAGGCTATACCTACAGCACTTTGTGTCGTACCTGCCCAGAGAACGTGCCCAACAAGTTTTTATTAACTTACTAATGATCAGGGATTATGTGACATTGGCGAATGGTCTATTTCTTCAACAAACACTCTGCTAGGTGCAGGGGCCACTGCAGAGCCAGGTGGACTGGGCAGTCACCAGACAAGGCAATATGTGAGTGACGGTGAAGAGCTCAGATTCTGGACTCAGACAGCCTGGGCTGGAGTCTGGTTCTGTTAAACTTATTGGCCATGTGACCTTGGCCAAATGACTCAGCCTCTCTGAACCCCAGTTCCTTATCTAGAAAATGAAGATAATCATGGCTACTCTCAAGAGCTCTTATGAGGATTAAAGGAGATCATCCACACAAAAATGCCCAGCATATCACGAGCACTCAATAAACTTTAGCCCTTTTATTATAAGGAACCACCACTGTTTTCAACCATGGAGACCAGCCCTGCCTTCTTTGCCTGCATACTTGAGAGGCCCATCTTCCTTTATTCCTAAACCCCCACCCAAATTTTCACTTGTAGATTCTTGCTCATGCACTTTGAGAAGCTGATTCCCACTGCTCTGAGGGCTTTAGAGGAGGCAAAAAATTGAGGGAGAGGGAAAATAAATATATTAAAAAGCCCTGCCACTCCCGCCCCCCCCCCCCCCCCCCCCCCCCGGCCCCAGGTTCCTCATCAACATTGCAGTTAGGGGTGGCCTGTCTAATGACTCTGTGCCTGTTGCCACCATGTGTCTTCTGCTGGAAGTCAGAGTTCTCCTTTAAGCCTAGGAGCATGAGCAGGGTGGGGTGCCATCCCAGCATTTATCTCTGGGGGCCTCAGCTAGTGCTCCCTTGGTAACCATTGTCCTTCTGAAGGTCGGCAGCTCCGTCATCCCACCAGCCTTTCCAGGGAGGTGGAGCCACACAGAACACAGTCTGGAACAAGTACGTTTGGTTGACCCACACACTTTTCAAAAAATTCGATTGAAGATTGAACATTTAAAAATTAGGAGAGCTTCTATAAAAACCTTGACTTCTGGCTTCCCTTGAAAAATTACATCTTGCTGCCAACCAGGTCTGACTAGTGGTGGCCCTGGTGGCTGGCATACATTCTCACTGTTTCAGACTCCATTTGGCTGAGGTCACTCATTTACTTCTGTCCCCTGTAGGCATTTGAGTTTTTGACCCTGCTCTAGGTCAGGCCTTGGGAGACATGAAGAATATGCTAGAAGATCCTGGTCTTATACTGGGCACCTGTACCAGAGAATGTTCTAAAAGATGGGACACAAAGTGGTCCCTGGGTTGAAGGGCTGCAGGCAGAGGGAGGAGGAAAACAAACAGGAGATTATCTCTTATCAGGATAAGGGATCCTGGTTGGTTTTGTATATGATGTAGACAGTGTTCGGGAGGACTTATAGGAGATATGGGGGAAAGGGGCCAGTGGCCAGAATTCAAGATTAGATGGGTGTGAGTAGAGAAAACTGACCTCTCATCTATATCCTTTTGAAAGCTGCTGACCAGCAGGACAAACTAACCTCAGAGTAGCATCTTTCCAATTGAGGGTCACAACCCATTAATGGGTTATAAAACCAACTTCATGGGTCTCAACCAGCATAAGTGCATCACTGCAGAAGGGCAAGTCTTGTTCTGTGAAACTTTTATTGTTCTGTAAGTGAAAGTACTGGAGATCAGAGTCAACAAAGCATGAGGCCACTGTGGCTTAGAGGGGAGAGGATGGATTCATGTTGGCAGGTTGAGGGGCACCTGGTGGTGAGATTTGGGATGGGGTTTCTAGGTCCCCCTTCTTCAGCTTTAGAGAAGTCAGCTTGGTGTTTGGGGAAGATTGAAGGCTCTAGGCTCACCATTCCAGTCCTGGCTAATTAACCTTTCTGAGTCTCAGTTCTCCATCTAAAAAATGGTAACAATAACACCCACCTACTTCACAGGATGGATAAGTCCAATAGACTGTGAATTACTGCCAGGCACTGGCCCTGTCTTATTTCTGTTAGTACAGTATTTCTAGCTGCTCACATATCACCCCTTCCTGCCAGGGGAAAGAAGAAAGGGAATTAGCAGTTAGCATTTCGTGAGTCAGATCCTGTGCTTGACACTCAGCATAATTTGGTTGAACACTGTGAATTTCAAATGAGCGTGGTAGATTGGTAGTGCTCTGTGGAGTTCTGATATAAGGAGTGTGGAAGCCGTTTTCTTCCTGTTGGAAGACTTTCATCCCGGATACAGAGAATTCCAAACATTCCAGCTATCCAAGGCCAGAGAGCATGCGGAGAGGGGCCCCTCAGCCCAGAGACCTTAGTTAGGGGTGGTGGCAGCAGCTCTAGCATGAACAGAGAACATGATTTTCCCCCTCTGCCTCTCAGCAGCACTAGGTTGCTCCTTGGAAGTTCAGGGCCTCTGAAGCGGCCCAACAGGAATGGGAGGAAACATACCCTGAAGCCCTAGTGTGGGTAACCCTGCCTCTCCCCAACCCTATGGGCAGGGCTGGCTGCACAGTGGGAACCTCCCACTTGCCGGGGTCTGTTGGGGGCTCTCCGGGAAGGGGGCCCAGACAAGGGTCTAGTCCGTTGGGCCCCACACCCAAGGTAAACCAAAGCCCAGAACCCTGGATCCCCTTGGGCTGAGTCAGCAGAGAAGGTATCCCAGGACTGGAGAGGAAGAGGAAATGGGGAGGAGGAGGAGGTGGTTACCAGGTGTCTCCCCATGACCCAGCTTCCAGGGACAGAAGCCCAGAGATGAGCCCCTTGTCATGGTGTGAGCTGATCCCCAAGGGCAGCCCCCATAGCTGGGGGGTAGCACAGAACAGGAAGCACAGAACTCCCACACAAGAGACCGGTCCAGCAAAGGAGGATGGGTTGCCGGTTCCAGGGCAATGAGCGGGGGTGGGGAATGGGGGAGGACAGGGGTTCATCCCACTACGGGTTCCCTCGACACTCCACACACTGATTTGTTGTGAGATCTCCTCCTGCCTCACCTGGGCAACAGTCCAAAGCTCCATCCTCAGCCAGTCGGAGCCACAGACACTCACGGCCATTTCCCCTCCCCTTCGACAAATATTTGTGGGGCTTCTACCACGTGCCTGTGCCGGGGCTGGAGACCATTACTCCTTCCCTCCAGCGGCTTACAGTCTGGTGGAGAGGCGTGTGCAGGGGAAGAGGGCAGGGACGGCAGTGGAAAAAGACAAAGATCGAGTTTAAGTGCAGTAATAAGAGGGCAGTAACGAGACGTTGTGAGAGTACAAGAAGTAAATAAAACAGGGCGGCCAAAAAGGCGGCAGGTCATCTTGAGATCTCAGGGTTTCTGGGTTTCCGCAGGGGACATGTGACACAAGCACTCGGGGAACCAGAAGTGGTGGGAGAGAGGATGGCATTGAATTGGAGCGAGGAGGAGCTTAGAGAGAGAAGGCCTGTGCTTTGGGGAAACTAGGGCGAAGGAGAAAGAGAGAGGGGATCAACAGGGCTGGGAAGGGTGGTGTTCGCAGAGACGCAATACGAGGGCGTAGAGCCCCGAGGTCAGGGCGGAAGGGAGGCTGAGAGGCCCGCAGCGGGAGCTTCGGGCAGGCTTGGGGGGCGGCAGCGCCCGAGGGGGCGGGAGGGGAAGGGGTGGCGCGGCGGTGGGGTGGGGGGGGAGAGATGGCGTGGGGGAGGGGCGAGGCAGAGGGGGGCGGGCGCGGCTCGACACGTGCGCTACGTGCTGCGGCCCGCCGCCCCCCGAGCCCGGGAGCTGGGGATCGGGTCCAGGGCGGTGCGCGGGGGGCCTGCGAGGGTGGCTCCCCAGGTTGGAGCCCAGGGGCGTGGCCTTCCCATCGCCGCGACCACTGGGACGCGGGGAGCGCGTCGTTCCCCGGCGTCGCATCTGGGGCGCAGGCCGGGGGCCGAGCGGGCCGCGCGAGGATGGAGAGCCCCGGGAAGGTGCCCGAGGAGCTGGGCTGCACAAAGCGGGTGGTGTGGGGCCGGGCCGGCGGGGCGGAGAGTTGTCCGAGGTAAGGAGGGCTTCCTGGAGACGTGGCACTCGAGCGGGGCTCGGTTCCGCCCCGGCCGCCGGGGCCCAGCCCGTCCCCCCCCCGCTCGCCCGCTCGCCCGCGCCCGCCCGCCCCGGCCGTCGGGGAGCCCGGCCCCGGGGCCCGGCCCGGCCCGGCTCGGGCGGCGCTGCCAGGTGCGGCCCCGGCGCCCCGCGGCCCCGCCGAGACAATGCGGCGCGGCCCCGCCCCCGGCGGCGCGGCCAATCAGCGCGGGCGGCCGGGCTCTTTAAAGAAAGAAGGGCCGGCGAGTGCGGCTGTCAGCTGGAAGGGATCCCTCCGCCCATGTAAACACTCGGCCGGGGGCGGGGCGCCGCGCGCGGGGCGGGGCGGGCGGTCCCCCCGGAGCCCCGCGGCCCCGGCAACCGCCGCCTCGGCCGCCCCGCGGGAGCGGCCCGGAGATGCGCGGCGGGCTCGCCCCTCCCGCGCGGCCCGGCTGCGCAGCGGCCACAGGTCACGCGCGCCCGGGGTCCTCCTGGGAGCCGCACCTGCCCGGCCTGGAGGACGCCCGCGCCCCGCGTGAAGCCCCGCGCGCTTCCCCGCGGGCGCAGGACGGGGAGTCAGCCCGGCAGGGCCCTCGACGGCAGACCGCCCGCGGCAAGGATGACTTGCTCCCCGTTTTGTGACGGGGAGTTTTCAGACGTTCCGCAGAGTTAAAGGAACTTTGCAGCAGGTTTCCCTGCAGCCACCACCTCGATGTTGCCGTTGACACCCTATGACAGCTTGCCGTGTCCCGTGCCTCTCTCACGCCGATGATTCCTTCTCTGATAGGGTGCCCTCTGCCCCTTCAGTCTCCACTGCAGGAAAAGGCTTGCCTGGGCCCCAGCGCCCCGGAGAGCTAAGAAAAGGACTGCCTTCTCCAGGGACTTCTCTGAACTCTTTTGGGGCCCAGTACCTGTGGGAAGACTTCAGTGAAGAGGAGGCTTTCCCCCTCCCTGCTCTAGTTGAAGGATCCTTAAGGATAAGTTTGTTCCTGTAGGGGAATCTGAAGGCAGGGCTGGCACACTGTTCACCTCGCCTAAGGAGGCCCTGGCAAACGTCCTTCCATGGGTGGGCTGCTTTCTGGATAAGAGGTCTTTTTAGTGTTGAAGTCCTACTTTTTGAGTTTCCTCACTCTTCTTTTCTGGGGCAGGACACTACGCACACCCTACCTCCAAAAATGTGTCAAAAATGTTCCTATCTCTTGCAGCTACTTAACCTCTCTTGACTCCATCGCCAGCTCTGCAAACGGGGAAAATAGCAGTACCTACCCCACAGGATAGTTGTGAAGATTCAATGAGCTAAAATACCAAAGCGTTTATAACAATACGTTACACACAGTCGGCGTCAGATAAATAATGGCTGTCACTCATATGCTAATAACTCCGATTTACATCTCCAGTTCTCACGTCTCCCCTTCAGACTGATACCCTTCAGCCTGTTGGATATCTTCAACTGCGCCAAAGACGCTTCAAACTCAGCTTGTCCACAAGTGAACACGTTATCTCCGACCCCAGACTGACTTCTTGTTTATATAATCATCTAGGTGAATGCCCAGCAATGCCAACCGGCCAGCATCCGCTCAGGCGTGCATCCTAGACTCCTGAATCATCCTGGATCCCT